TGTTTCCCTGCTCTCAGCCGATGGTCCTAATATCTACAATGCTTCTCTTCCAGGGCTCTTTCTGTTTTTAATTTTATTTCTTTATTTGGTTTTTTGAGACATGATTTCTTTGTATAGCCCTGTCTGTCCTGGAACTCGATTTTTAGACCAGACTGGCCTTGAACTCACAGAGGTCCACCTGCCTCTCTCTCCCGGATGCTGGGAATAAAGTTTCCTTATGCTCTTTGTTGGGGTAATCAAAGGGGTGACCTCTGCCAACATTTGTATTCATTTCACCTTCATCTTGGGTTGAAGAGACTCTGTCCCTGGCTTCCTGCCCCTCCCCATCCTGTCCCAGTACTTTCTCCCTGTGTCTCCCCACCACACTGCTGGCACACAGACACACATGTATAGTCAGAACTGCAGGTGTCTAGGGCAACAGACCACAAGAGAAACCACATCACCTTTGTTGACTCTGGAGGGAGGTGAAGGGGATGAGGGAAGAGACTTGGGTAGTTCTCAACCTGCCTGTTCCCCACCACCATCAGCTCTCCCAGCCTGGGCTATCTGGACTGGTAGCCATGACTGTCATGTCTTCCTAATTCATCCACTCAACTCCAGTCTAGAAACACGTAACATTTCTTGTTTTAGACTTCTTGAACTCCTAGAGTGGGATCTGCCTGTGTGCTTGCACCCCAAAGCCACACCTCCCAATTTTACCCAGAACACTCAGACACCTGCTGATCCTGCCTGTGCAATGTGACAGTGAAAGAAGGAGGTCAGAGATGAGTCCCTGTGGCTGAGTCCGGTGAGGCCGGGAACTGATCATCTGGAGCGGTATACAGAGATCAGCAGAAACCTAGACCAGAGTATAAGACCCTGGCATAGCTCCTCTGCTGGAGAAACTACATCAGCTCCAAATTGGGTACACTAGGATAAGCCACTTGTTGGTTCTATAGATTTAGGAAAATCGTTTCCTTTCTCTGAACTCAGTTTGCTCGCTAAACAATGGTGTGATAATGAGATGCAAGAGAAATGGTCCTGAAGAGTACAGGAAACACAGAAGGTTCTCCACAAAGCCTAAATCACTTTCCTTCCCTCTCCTTTGCTCCTTCCCTTTGAGATTTATTTTTATTTCTGTGTATGTAAGTGTAGAGTACCCTCAGAGGCCAAAGGAAGGCGTCTGAGCCCCTGGGCCTGGTAGCTGTGAGCCGGCCCCTAATTCTTTGTATTTTGTTTTGGGCACGTGTGTGTACGTGTGCTTGGTGTTCGGGTGCATATGTATGCAGGTGCCGGTATACACATGTGCAGGTGCGTGTGGAGGCCTGAGGTTGGCACAAATGTCTTTCTTAATTGCTCTTCCTGTTCTTTCTGTTTCTTATTTTTAGTTTCAGGAAACCCTTTATTTGGAGTTGAGGGCTTAACCTCCTCTGCTAATCTGAAAGCCCAAAAATAGTTGGCATTTGATCCTAGGCTCAATCCCAATTCCACACAGTGCTGTCCCCTGAGATCTCATGGGAGTTTGGGGGAAAGAGCATGCTCTGGTTGACTTTATGAGACATGTGAAAGTCAGTGCAGTCTGGGGGAAGACACGCAGCTGCAGTCAGCACGTGTAGACGGCTGGGACCAGTGTGGTCCATAGTGTGGGCCCTGACACTTAGACTCGTAGCCTTTCTGCATATTTGAACCCTTGTCTTAAGCAAGCTCCCAGCAGCATTTGTTAAAAGGGCAAATGGCCCGGAACTTGTTGAGAAAATTCAGTCAGGTTTCTTGAGGTTTATGGCCCATACTCCCTTCATGAGTATAACAAAGATTATTAAGAATCAGAGATCTAGAGGCTAGAGAGATGGCTTAGTAGTTAAGAGCACTTGCTGTTCTTGCAGAGGACCTTGGTTCAGTTCCCAGTACCCACGTGGCAGTTTACAACCATTGGTAGGTTAACTCCAGTTATCTGGAAAAGTCACATGGCTCCAGGAGAGGTGACAACCTCTACTGGCCTCTGTGGACACCAAAATACTCATACACATAAGATAAAATAAACCTTTTTTTTTTTCTTTTTGGTTTTTCGAGACAGGGTTTCTCTGTGGTTTTGGAGCCTGTCTTGGAACTAGCTCTTGTAGACCAGGCTGGTCTCGAACTCACAGAGATCCGCCTGCCTCTGCCTCCCGAGTGCTGGGATTAAAGGCGTGCGCCACCACCGCCCGGCAAGATAAAATAAACCTTAAAAAAATCAGGGATCTGATATTTGTCCAAAGGCTAGAATAGGGCTGATATTTGGTAAACACTTGGTAAAAGATAGTTCACCAAGGCTAGAAGAAAAGGAAGGGATAAAGAAGAGGACGTGTAGGCCCTAAATCACGGGAAAGCAGAAATGGGCACCTGCAGGCTTTATGCTGTCCAGAGACCTAGGGGAGCTTGGGAGAACCCAGGGCAGATCCTATGGGGCCAGTCTCTTATACCAGGTGTCCAACTGAGCAGGTTGTGAGAAGTCTAGACTCAAGTTCTTTAGAAACCTCCCATGGGAACCACCCAGCACAGCAAGAAGGAGGTAGCCTGCATTCTTCTGCCTTATATTTCTAGGGATCCTGGAGGCTAACAAACGCCAGTAGGGAACCTGGAACTTAGAAACTGGCTTGGGAATCCATGTGGGGCAGGGGCTGTTGGCGCCGCAGGCAAATCTGGCAGCAGAGGGAGGGGCTCAGTTCAGCATCCCAGACACATGCTGTACACGTTGTTTTCTTCTTTGCCTACAGGAAGAAGGCAGCGAGTCCTGGTGTGTGCATTGCCAGGCAGCCACACATCTTTATTCCAATCACCCAGAAATGAGTGGTGGTTAGATTAAAAAGAAAAGGCAGGGGCTGGAGAGATGGCTCAGTGGTTAAGAGCATTGCCTGCTCTTCCAAAGGTCATGAGTTCAATTCCCGGCAACCACATGGTGGCTCACAACCATCTGTAACGAGGTCTGCTGTCCTCTTCTGGTCTGCAAACACACACAGATTAAATATTGTATACATAATAAATAAATATTTTAAAAAAAGAAAAGGCAGATTCACAAACAAATACACGAATGCTGCATCTGTAGAAATCATCAAACTAGAGCTCAAATTCAGCGTTGCCACAGCTACAGGAAAGGAAGACAGGCACATGGGGTAATGTACGGGTACAACAAAGAGACTGGTGGTCTGCTGTGACCACCCGTGGCTTTTCTGAAGGGCCACAGGCCTCAAGGCAGGATTTGGAAGGAGGGAGATCTGCTTTGGAAAGAGGGCTCCATAGAAGGGCAAGAATGTCTTTCAGAGCCCATATGGGTAATGAACTGAAGGGTGTATTCGAGAGGTCCAGCGGGAGAAGGATCCTTGAAGTCCGTGAATATCTGTCATAATTCAACAAAGCACATACTGAGTTTGAATTCTGTGCAAAGCGCTATGAGAAATGCACCCATGGCCCAGGTAGTGCTTTCAAGCCTGAGTGCTTGTAAGGAAGATGAGGTCACGACTAGCAGACTAGATGGATGAAGGTCAGTGTGTAGAGAAAAACCTACAGTGTTGGGGTCCTTCAAGGAATAGCAAAATCTTTCTGGCTATGGGAACCACGAAACGTTTCTCGTCGGGATTCTCAGCACAGGAGAAAGGGTGCTGAGGGCATTTGCTCTGTAGAGAGCGTCTTAGGCCAAGGCTAGGAAGTGGGTAAGTCGGAGGACATGATGGGGAACAGCCAGCAACCAGGACTGGCTGAAGCAGTACTAATAGTAACTGCTGGGGAGGAAAATAGTGGGAAGCACCAGGCAGGGATGCATGTGGTACCACGCAAGAGGCCATCAATGCTAGAGAAAGCATTTGTGATACACATTAACAGGTACAGAGCGGCTAAAGTCAGTGGCTGAAATCAAGGGAGCGACAGGTAGTGAGACCTGACCTGTCACTGAGGGTGTTTAGCAGCAGCGTGGTGAAAGAAGACCCTCTAGACCACTCATGATTCTGTCTTCCATGACAAAACAGCTCTAGCGCTGTCTCTGTTTCTAAAGATTCTGCAAGTTCCTAGGACTCGGTGAGTAGGATGTGATCAGAAGGAAGCTGCTTGTCAAAGGCTGGGTACCTCAGAGGAAGAGGAGCCCAGTGTTCCTGGTGGATGACCTCTACCGCCCCAGTGTTCTGACCCAACAGATTGCTGGAGGCAATGAACTGATAGGTCAAGGCAGGCAACCCAGGGGGAAGGTCCTCAGCCCCTGACCCTTGAATCTGACCTCCATCATTGTCTTCGTCTAAGAGATTGGGGGAGATGCAGGGAGGGCTGCAAAGTCAGTCCTCAGCCGAGTTTATTAGCTGAGGGAGGGCTGGAGGCGTCTGCATTCCGACTCACAGACTGGAACATTTCTGTGATCCACTGTAATGCGCTGGGGGACACTGGGCACATTGCTGAAGTTTGACTCATAGGGACTGGGGGGGGGGGGAGCAAGGGAGGTTATTGTGGAGGAAGAGGAATGGAAGAGAGGAAGAGGAGTGGATGGAAGGAAATCCCTTGAGAAATGTCTTCGAAAAAAGAAAACTTTCAAAAACTGCACCACCCACCCCCTTTTTTTCTTTTAATAGGAACAGGCTGGACCCTTTTGCTCCCCTCAGCAGGCATGGGGGGGGGGTGCCACTGGGGTTGGACTGGGCAATGATTCAAATCAGATCCTGAAGCTTTCCTGAGGCGAGTCCTGCTTGTGTGTGAGGGGGTGGAATGAGGCGGTGCGGGGCGGCGGGGGGGGGGGGGGGTCGTCTGGGATTCCTTGCTTGGGACTCTAAGCGTGTCCTGTTCTTCTATGTGTAGCTCTCTTCTCGAGGACTTCTTATTGTGTAGATGTGTGCACAGGAGTCCTTCCCCGAAGTGTAAATCACCCTGGCCTGTGTAAACATGGATGCACGCTCGTGTACGCTGTGTATGCACGGGTGCGTGCACTCAGGTATCTGGGTTTCCGGGAATTGTGCGCTGGGCGCAGCGCCGCGCGGTGGCTGAGGCTCGGCGGCCGCGCGCGGGTCCGGCAGCGTCCCGCGTTCCGGGTTCGGCGCTGCCTCCCGGGGCGGTGTGCCGCGCCCCGCCGCGATCGGTGTCTGCAGCCAGCCTGTGTGCCGCTGAGCAAAGCCTGCCGGGGTGGTGTGTCCCAGGGCCGCGAGCGCCGGCCCCCTCCCTCCCCTCCCCCTTGGCCCGCTCTCAGACTCAGATAAAGCATTTCCTTCCATTGTCATCCTACCCGGCCGGCCTGGCTGCCAGGGCCCTCCCCCTCCCGGCCCCCTCCCTTCCTCTCGCCGTCTCACAGTCGCTCTGCAGCCTCCGGCGACCGGGGGGATGTGAGGCCGGCGCCCCGGCCCCCCGCCCGCCATGAGCCCCCGGCTCTGAGGGCCCCGGCCCCTGGATGCACAGCCCCGGCGCGGGTGAGTACCGGGCGGCCGCCCCCGCCCCGCCCGCCCCGCCCTGCGCGCGGCACCCTGCACCGCCCGCTCTAGCTCCGGCAGCGGCTGCCGCTGGGTCTCCGGCTGGTCCGGTTGCCCGGGTCCTCCGTGCGCGCTCCACCGCGTCCGCTCGGTGGGGCTCTGGCCCGCTCGGGAGCCCCGAGCTGGTTCCGGGGCCACAGAACTCCGGCCTCCTGCGGGGTGCCCACATCCGCCTGCTTCGGGGCAGCGACAGGCCTTAGGGAGGCAGTGGGAGGCCTGGGGCCGCCTGTGCATGGGCCGGGCGTCCCGTCACCCTCCTCCCGGGGATCCGGGAGGCACTGACGGCCGCCGAGGCCCGGACAGGAGGCGGTGCTCCGTGGCGGAAGGTTTGGAAGAGGGAGGGCAAATGGTAGGACCCACTGAACTTGGGCCGTGTTTGTGAGGCTGGACATCATCGCTCCCATCTCGCATAGCCGGTCAGGGCTCTCCTCAGATCCAGTGACCAGAGAAAATGACCCCCGAAGGGGTATTGGGCTGGGAGATTTCTCTGAGCATCAACCCTTATCCTTGATCACCCATTGGAGTGAAGAGACACCTGTGCCCAACTGAGCTGTGAGGACAGTGCCCTTAAGGTGTGGGAAAGTGGGGGCTACAGGCTGTGTACTGAGCCGTAGGGAGGTGGGAAGTTGAATGTGTGTCCCCCCCCCCAGGTCTGTTAGTGCCCAGAAGTATGAGAACTTGGGCAAATTGAGCTGTCTTTCCACTGCCACAATTTCTCAGCCAGTAAGTTGGAAGAAAACCTGGGTCCTGCAGGTCACCTACTGTGTCCCACTTCCTTCCCAATGGCTGCCAGTTTAGGATCGACCCGGGGCTGGCCACTGTGGCCCTTAACTGTTCTTGCTGGCTGTCCAACATTCCCAAAAGCCTCCTGCATCTGGAATTGGCTGGCTTGCTGCTAACTATCCCTTCCCACATCCCAGCTCAGCATCTGCTTGAGGCCCAGCTCTGCCTGCCAATTTTTAGGGTGATAATAGGACATTGGCCCTCCGTGGCCCTGATGGGAGCTCAACATCTGGAATCAGGAGCTAGTCCCCCAGACTTTTACGTAGACTTATGGGACTTTGCTCAAATTCCTTGCCCAACCATCGGAGACTATAACTCTGGTTGGCTCCTACCCTCTAACTTGTATTTAAGTGACCCATTTCTTCCCAAGAGGACCCCAGTAGGATGCCATCCATGCCCCCGTCTATGGCAACCCTCTCACACCTTCCCAGCTTCTTCAACTGCTGCAAATCATGCCTTCACTCATACCCCTTGCTCTCTCGTCCCCCTGCCCGCTCCCCTCTGTAACTCATTTTCTTTATGCTCACTTCTGAGGGAAACTGAGGCTCAGAGCTCTTCCACTGTGTGGTATCCAGATAAGTGAGATTGGGCCAAGTCTTGGACCCACTGGGGCTTGTCTCCCTGCCTTTAGTTCTCTGATGTCCCTCCCAAGCTAGGAGCTCAGAGCTGTGCTTTGGAAAGGTTGGGAACTGTGTACCTGCATCCTCTGTCGCTCATTCAGGCTTGGATGGGCACTGTCTACATATCAGGATAAACTGAGGTTTTGAGCTGAAGAAGGTTTTGCACCTAAGCTGGTCACCCCACTTAAGCTCACTGTCCCCCACAACTCACATCATGGGGGTGGAAAGAATCCTGAGTCCCCTTTCCAGAGCTCAGAACCAGAGGGACAAACCCCAAATGACCAGTGTCCTTTAGGGAATAGGGGGACAGGTGGGGAGTATTATGTCCTTGCCTCAGGAATAATGGTTGTCACCTATAGTGACTGGTGGCTTGGTTCCAATGGGACTGAGAATGAGGAACCTTTTATAGGCATACATCCCAGGACTGGGGAGACGAACCCTTTGAAACCCATCATCCCTTCTGCCTCCTTCCCTGTGGCCTTTCTTTGAGAACCAGTAGTTTGAAGCTGGCAGAGGTCTGAGAGAAAGATGAGCAAGACCCAGGGTCACCCAGCCAAGGAATGGCACAAACCAGACCTTCTGCCCCTGCCAGTGACTATTCTTGCCCAAGCTCTTCCTTAGTCAGATGAGGTCTGGAGCCTCCAGAGGAGTATGGGGTATTGCAAGCCTCCAGGGCATGTCCCCTGGAGGCACCAGCTCCAGGACTGCAAATTTGTATATGTTGGATTTGTTCACTAGATGGGGCACTTCCTCTGGGGCAGGAAGCCTTGATTTCCTGTGTTGGGGGAGTAGGGACTAGGAGTAGGGGGCCCACTGAGCCATCCCTGATGTTGTTTGGAAGCACAGGACGGCAGAGTTTTTGCTTGAGGCTGTTTCCCTCATCCAGGGGCAGCAGGAAGGAAAGGTCTGGCTAGGAGGCCCAGACTGAGGCTGGAGAAGGCTCTGAGTGCCATGAGATGGGGGTGGGCAGCCCAGCAGGAAGCATGGTCAGCAGGTGACCCTGCCGGGTATTGTGTTCCTTATAATATTTTCCCTGTTTCTGTGGTAACATTCCATGAGGGCCTTGGGCCTTAGGGCTTCAGGAAGGCGCTCCAGACAGCCCTTTTCCTTAGTGGCCCACGTACTGGGAGTCCCCTGGTCTAGCTACTCCCTAATCCTTTTGGCTTTGTAGGACCAGAGCCTGGGAATCCAGACAAGGGGCCTGACCAAGCACTGACTGAGGGGCTGAGTAGAGGTCCCACAGTATCTCTCGGCAGGCAAGGAAAGAGAAGTAGGGTGGACTTGGGGAGGGCTCCAAGCGGTTTGAAAACACTGACTTCAGCAGCTGCCTCCTCTCATGGGGCTCTTTCTCTCCATGCTCATGTCCAGTCATTCAAGGGGTGGTGGACAGCAAGCTGCCTGGGGCAAGGGGTGGGGGTGGCAGAGGCAGGGGGGATGTTTTCATCAGCAGAGCATAGCTCCTTTGGTTCTGGACTTGTTCCCAGAGGCAAAATAAATTCAGGATAGCATCTGTTTAGTGTGAGTCTCCATGTGATATGTGTGTATGCACTGGGTGTGTGGTGGGTGTCTGTGTTTGCCCAAGGGCTGTGGATGTCGATGTGGTGGTTCTGTAGCAATCTGTGATCCATGTTCTGGCTCCGCTGGCTGTTTGGGGGTATGCACACATGTGGCACAGATGTGTGTCTTCTGTGTCTTGTGCACCTTTGTGAGTTATGGCACTGTGTGGGGTATATGGAGCATATGGGCAGGTTTTAGGGGATGCAGACCTATGTAGGAGCTGCTTTTCCACAGGTGTCCAGATGTTAGCCTATAAAGCACTGTCCATGGTTTTTCTCTTTTCTCTCTGTGTCTTTTCCTTCCTTCTTTCTTCCCTTCTTTCCTTCCTTCCTCCTTCCCTCCCTCCCTCCTTTCCTTCCTTCCTTCCTTCCTTCCTTCCTTCCTTCCTTCCAGTCAGGGTTGTTCTCTGTAACCCTGGCATTCCTGGAGGAACTAGATCTGTAAACCAGGCTCGCCTCGAACTCACAGAGATCTGCCTGCCTCTGCTTCCTGAGTGCTGGGATTAAAGGCATGTGCCACCATGTCTGGTCTCCCGTCCATCCATGGTCAGTCATTACATGCTGGTTACTGGACCAGGTGCGTCGGGATCATATGATGAATATGTTAGGAACATCCTCTGGCCCATTCCCACCATCTGTCAGAGTCTGCAGGAGTGGGGTGAGGAACCTGCATTTCTGTTTATGTGCTGGGTGATTCAGGTGCCAAGCTGTGCTCTCTTCATTTATTTCTGTGGAGGAGACAGACGTGCAGGTGTGTGGCATGTCTGAGGTCACGGGGATATTTAGAGGAAGAACTCGGACACAGTGCAAGCCTCCTAAGACTGGTCCATGGTTTAATGTGGGTACCTGAGTGTACACTCATGCCTGGCATGGTGAAGGGAACCAGGTAGTGCCGTCTGGTGTCGATGCTGCCTCAGAGGGGCACTGACTTTTCTTTTGGGGTTCCAGCCTTTCTGGCCTTGTTCTTGTTACCTTGAAACCCTCAAGAATCACACTGACAGCCAGGGACGCTCATTTGCCAAGCCGGTCACTCAACAGTGCATCCATTTGTCACAGACTAGCGGAGCTCTGGGCCATGCACTGGACACAGATGTGCAGTGAGTGTGCACAAAGGTGAGCACGTCTGACCTCAGGGCACCACCACTCCACTGGAGAGCTAAAAAGCTTGGGCCGATAAGTCCTGTGAAGGAAATTAACTGGGTGAAGTGATAACAAACAAGGTGGGACTTCCTCAGACAAGGTGGCCTTGGGAGCCCTGAGCGGACATTGACACCTTTTTTTCCAGACTAGAAGTGAGTCCACCGTCTGCTAAACCATACATGGAAGCTCCCTGGAGCCAGGCGAGGCATCTGGCCTGAGCTCTCACTGAGGGTTGGAACCGGACTAACAGACTCTTTCTTCATGCAGCCCCCCACAGGTTGACAGAGGGGCAGAGAAGCAGGAGTAGCCAAATAGGGCTCAGGTTAAGGTTAAGAAACCTGGCAGACTGTCAGGAGCTCCCAAGCACCGTCCATTCCTGATCCTCCTGCTTCACTTTCCTCCCACCTCCTTCTCTTCCTACCTTCCCAACCTGGGGAACCACTGTGCCAGGTCCCTCCCCTCGGGGTGTATCTGGCTGCCTCTGTGGCCACTGGGATTTATTTATCTAGTTCAGGGTCACCAAGGAGGGGTGGCTGGTCAATGCTCAGAGGCAACCTGGGTCCTGGGAGATAACAGAACTAGAAATAAGGGGAGGGGGGCATGTGCGGGGAAGACTCTTAGGAGACACTCAGGAAAAAGCTGCCCAGCAACACTCAGTCCAGAAGAGTGTGTAGGAAGACCTGAGCTTAGGGGTTCAACTGTGCCCTCACATCTGCACCCTAAGCTGGATGACTCTTCGGACCAGAGGGGCAGAGGGGTCTAGTTCACGCCACCTGCTCTACTTCCGCCAGAAGGAAGTACCCTCTTGGGTCCACCTGCAGGCCTGCCCCTGCACCCCTCT